GACCTTTTTAAAGTGTTGAAGAGCAAACATGTCAGCTTGAGGACTAAGGTGCGCCTGACCCAAACCATGGTATTTTCAATCACCTCATATTCATGCGAAAGCTGGACAGTGAATAAGGAAGACCATAGAAGAATTGATGCTTTTGAGTTATGGTGCTGGAGGAAAATATTGAAAGTGCCATGGGCTGCCAAAAGAACCAATAGATCCATTTTGGAAGAAGTGCAGCCAGAGTGCTCCTTGGAGGCCAAGATGGCCAAACTTCGTCTCTCATACTTGGGACATATTGTCAGGAGGTACTAGTCGCTGGAGAAGGATATCATGTTTGGTAAGGTGGAGGGTCAGAGAAAAAGAGGAAGACCCCCAATGAGATGGACTGGCCAAGTGGCAGCATTGATGGACTCAAGCGTGGCAACAGTAGTGAGGTTGGCCCAGGATCAGGCAGTGTTTCGTTCTGCTGTGCATATGGTCACTGTGGGTCGGTAATGACTCGAAGGCACCTAACAACAACAACAGCAAATCCTTCCTCTTTGTTTCCAACGTTCACGTTCCAATCACCAGTAATTATCAATGCATCTTTATTGTATGTTTGATCAATTTCAGACTGAGGAAGTTGGTTGCAGTGGTGATAGTGGTGTGCTTTTTAGTTGGTTCCAAGTCCTAGCGAGAATTCTTCAATTTCATTGTCACTGGCTTTAATGACATCTAAATTTGAATAATAGTAGTATTAACTAGTCTTCCTTGTAGGCATATGGATATTAATCTATCACAGATAGCATTGTGTACTTCAAGATAGGTCTCAAAATGTTTTTTATAATGGTGAAAGCAATGTCATTCCTCTTCAATTTGTTGTTCCTGGGGTAGTAAACCATAAAATAGTCCATCTCAAAATTGCCAATACCAGTCCATTGCAGCTCAATAATGCCTAGAATATTGATCTTTATGCATTCCATTTATTTATTTATTTCATGTAACTTTCATTTTATTGACAGTACCTTGCATTCATGATGGATGCTCTCTGGGTTTTGCCACACATTTTAATGTTAAAGGTGAAATTATTTTTAACATGCAAATAGTGTGAATAGTTTCCCCCCATATGGGAACACTCATTATAAGAAGATGACATACTACATGAGTGTCTTTTTTAATTGAAAAGCTAACAAACTGCCTAGTTACATTTGTCCCCCCAAAAGCACAAACTGGGTAGTAACTGAGTCTCTAGCTAAAAGGAATAAAAATACACAGTCCTCAGATTGCATTAAGTTGTAGTCTTGCTACACACAGGCTAACCCATACCATAACTCCTTGACTCTATGGAGCAGGCAGACAATCCTAATAACTCCACTCAGATCAGTTCCCTCAAATAGCCCTTTTCTGGTTTTCAAAACTTGAATAAAGACAATACTTTGTTAAGTCTATTTCTGCACAATTTTCCAAGTTGTTTTATTTACATGGCCAACTTTTAGAAGGTCAATTCACTAAAGTTAACTAGACAGTAAACTAGGCAGAAATCACTTTACAAAAAGAGGTAGAGCCCAAAATATCACTTTCTGTAGAGAACCCACAGTTCAGTTTTATTCAGAGCAAAGAAAAAACAAGCAACTTTTGATCACACTAGGAGAAACTCAGCTCTAGGTTCTACAATCTGTACTACACATACAATGATGAAGACAATATTCTGCCAATATAATTGATTTGCTGCTACATTTGTCTCCTGTTTGTCTAATATTAACAATTATAAACAGAGCAGTGCAACTAGTATTTTGAATAATCCTTACAGTGTTACGGTGTCAGGTTCAACATTTTACTTCTCTTCTCACCACTGGTTCTCTTTGTATACCTGGGCTTCCTCCTCTTCAGTAAAGTAATTTTTGATATTGAAGGCCTTACGAATTTCTTCAGGAGTTTCCCCCTTGATCATATTGGCAACAGTCTTGCAAGTAACATCAAGCAAACCTTTGATATCTAAGTAGTTTGCAGCCAGAATAAGTTCAAAAAGTGTTCCCTGGTCAACTTTCAGGAATTCTTGGTCCCAAACAGGGATATTGTCTGTTCTCTTTTCTTTGTTCTCATCATCCTCAGGAGGAGGAGGGTCATCCTAGTGATGGGTGTCCCACTGAATGACCTTTTTAAAATATTGCTGCATTAACATTTAGTAGAGGAACTGGGTCATCATCTCCTTTATTGTCCATTCCCAAATCTTCCAACATGGTCTTGATAGTCACAGATTGTTTGGAAATTTCCACATCAACTTCAAATATCTCTCCATCAGAACTCTGCAACTTAATTGAAGTCATGGTGTTCAAGTCTAAGAAGGCAGTGGACCCAAGGCTGGTGAAAGTTGGGAAGCGTCAGCACAAACAGAGGAGTAAGGCAGAGAACAAGGCCACTCTCCATTTCATTTTTGACAAGTTCCAATTTCTTAGATTCATACTTCATGCATCCTGCATTCTGATTATTAATGGATATTTGCCATTGTTTGTTTCACCTTCATTTTAATTTGTGCCCTGCCAGGAAATGACAGTCCTGAAAGCTTTGCTTCATTCATGTCATTCTGGTCAACTCTACTTCGAGGAGGCAGCTCTTCCTCAGTCATATTTTGAGTGCCTTCCAACTGGAGGGGCTCATCTTCTGACACTACGTCTGACAATGTTCCATGGCTGCTCATAAGGTTTTCAGTGGTTAACCATTCAGAAGTATTCCACCTCTCCTTCCTATCTGTCTTAAG